ATAAATAATAATCTTAGTTTTTACATTTTTGTTCATTGTTATCTCTAACAATATTAATTTCTATTTTAAATTAAACTGTTGTATTGTTTATGCCAATTGCAGGCTAATGTTTGTGACCAAGCTTTGCAATCAACATCCAGTCAGAGAATGGTAGGTTTATTTGTTGGCATTGAATTACATTACTAACACATGCACCAGGTAATTAAACTTTAAAAATGTACTCTAATATAATGTCACTCAAAGAATTTATATATATATATATATATATTGTTGAAATACAAAATGTAACATGTTCTTTTTTTGGTTCATTGCCAGATAGTCTAACATAGTCAATATTGATGAAAATGTATTTATGTTCTGTACTGCACATGCTGCTCTACTGGGATATCCAAATTCTACAGCTTTGGAGGTGCGCGTAGCTATCCGTTGCAAATGAACAACGAACACTAAATTGGAAAAAAAAAAAAAAATGGAAATGAGATGCTCACATTAAAATGTTCTCTTATTTTAATTCTCTGTTTTTGAATTTTAAAAGTTTTGTTCTTTAAAATAATACATTTTAGTCACATTTAAATTTTTATGTTCATTGTGTTCACTTCTGACTTGTAAACTGATAATTTATGTAAAGTTCATAAAGTTGTGAGTAAAATTGGACAATTTTAAAATGTCGGTAATAAAACAAAATATTTGAATTACCTTGAACATCTTGTGTAATTAATTTTTCCATGTAATTGTAGCCTAAAACAATGTAAGTAGTGTAGTTATACATGTAATGTACACAATAGGAAAGTAGGAATAAAGAAGACTTATGAGCCATTAATTGTGCTTCATTAGCAATAGCAGTAAATCAAAAATAAAAATTAAGTGTAATTTAAATACATTACTAATATATTAGTAGTATATTTAAAGTATATTTAAAGTATATTAAAATTATATTTTTAATATACTTCTATGACAAAATTAGTACACTCAAAATATACTAATCAAGCTCTTGAATACTACATAAAAAAGTATACTTAAAGTATACTAAGTACTACTTGAAGTTGTTCCAAAAAAGTATGTTGAAGTATACTAAGTATACTAAAAGTTGTAAATTAATACTATTTAAATACTATTAAAATATACTAAGCACAAAAAAGTTGTTCCAAAATAGTACAGTTTAAGTACATTAATCAAAATATGCTAAAGTATGTTAAAATTGAATATACTAAAGCATACTTTTTTTTTTCTACTAGGGGCAGTTTTCCTCTCTGGTTGCTCCGGCTGGTACAGCCACAGGAATCCTGGAAAGCTGCACAGGCCTTAAATAGCTGCCTGTAAAACTGTGCAGCAGCGACTGAATGGTTTATGTATAGAGGAAGGCGTTGTGCAAACACAAATGTGTTGTTTGTACTAGATGTAATAGAGGAATAGAAAATCAACACACAGCAGCACCTCCACCTAGATTTTTTTCCAGGTGGGGTTGAAGGGTGTCACATTAAAATTGCAATTTCAACTAACTACACTGCAAAACAAAATATGCTCATTTATAATAAATTAATGAAATAGACATTTTGAGCATTGCATTCTTAGAATGAACAGTAGGTCAAAACTTTAATAACAAAACTGTTAAATATGTAATGTCCTATCTTTTAAGAAGACAGCAGACGCTGTGTATTGCCTTCTGAAAATTCTAATGAAATCTTTAACCTGAAATTATTTAAATTAGAAATCAAAACCAGAGAGATGTAAAAGAAAATGGTAAAATTACCATGTGAATGCTGAAATAATATTTTAATATCCAGATACTATTCTCTTTGAGTCTCTAAATGTTAATATGAAATGACCTCTTAACTCGTTTTACACCCAAACTTTGGGAAGCCCTAATGTAAATGGTCTAAACTGAAAGAAAGCAGGTTAGGCTTCTTTTAGAAAGACGATGCACACTCCAGTCATCTGCAGAAATGCTCAGATGACCCAGCAGTCGTCAGGTGGATCAGAGAGAGTCGAGAATCAGAGTGGAGCTGGTGGACCAGTTTGTGTCGTGGTGTGTAAACAAACTCAACTTAAATGTGAAAAAACAAAGGAGATGATTGCAGATTTTGAGAGTTGGGTTAAACACTGCTTTCATCATGGTAGATAAAGTGGAGGTGGTAGAGGAATATTAATTCTTCAGTGGTCAAGATGCTGCAGATCTTCTGAGTGTGTTTTTGGATGTCATCTCTTCAGTCAGAAGCCTCTGACTGCTACAGGAGATCCTGAAGACGTCAGCATCTACAACTATGAAGAAACTTGAACAAGTTAGATTAATTGTTCCACTTGGATTAAGAAAGTGTTTTTCAACAGACAAATGGTTAAAATGTGAATTCCTGATCAATAGTTTGCATCCATCTCTTAAATTCACCTTAGCGCCGTAAAGCAGCTTGGTAACATGGGAAACTAAAGTGGTTAAAAATCAGACCTCAGTATTTAATTCCCAATTCTAATAATACAATTGTGACCACAATTTATTAAATACTTTAAAGCTGCAGTAATTAACTTTTATATAAAATATTTGTTGAAGCTGTCACCACATCATGACAGTATGGTATGAGACTCACATGTGAAAAAATTCATCCGTCGTCTCCCAGTGCTAACTAGAAACAACCAATCAGAGCCCAGAGGCGGGTCTTAGCTCTGTCAGATCCTGTTGTGATTGCTCAGGCTGGTTAGCATAGCCACTGATGATGGCGGATAAAAGGTTTTCGTGTAATGGTGAGTTGCTTCTCCACCATTAGCACATAGAGCAGAACATAATGAGGATGATTTACAGCGCGAAGACCCTCCTCCTCCTGGCTCTGATCGGTTGTTTTGGTGAGAATAGCAGAGGTGGGGATAAAATTTATATTTTTATATACCTACCTTACCTCATAACATAATATGGTAACAGTTCTAATAAATGTACAAACTTTATGAAAAGTTACAAACTGCACCTTTAATAAAAGTTAGTCACCAAATTGAGGAACCGCCATGTTTGACTTGAATATAATTTTATGTTGGATTCACCTGAATAAAAAACAAAACAAAAAAACCACAAGGCTTTAACACAAGACATTTTTCCAATTGGTTTTTACTTTAAAAATTAAACCTGAACTTAAAAGGGCACTGCTTTTATAACATTAGAATGAAACCATCTGCAGTGAAATAGTTGTGCTGCACCCACCGGGAAAGACGCTGCAAACAGCGTCTTTCCAGCAGGGGGCAGCACAACTCTACAATATTGCAGAGCAGAAGCTCAGGAAACTTAACCTGCAGACGCAGATCTGAATGACTGGCTGCTTTCCACTTCTGGCAAGTTGCTGAGGGAATTAAAAATAAAGATGTGCTGCCAACTGGGAGGCGGATGGGAGATTCATTAAAAAAGTATTTTCCTATTTGAACTAAAATCTTTGCATTTTCAAACAATCAGTCCATTCATAATCTTTGTAGTTACTACAGTTGCAGTTTCTAGAACACCCATGTAAAAATCCTCCTGTACTCTGTCATATTTAATGTGGGAATGTTCTCCATCATATGTGCTTAAGTTATTTACAATATCACTAGGACAAAACGTAATCATCACTTATCTTTTGGCATAATGATCAAACTTAAAATTTATTAGATGGATTTATTACAGAAGAAAGTTAAAAAAAAAAGAGTCAAACATGTGAATACCCAAGTTTATTTCAAAACATTTGAAGGTATTTTGAAATTGTGAACATGAGCTATAGTCCCAGTGAGTAGAGCTGGAGCAACCGGATGTTCCATAGCTTCATCTTCCACTGAAAATAACTCCGTCAAACCATCTGAAAACACACGAAATAAAAGCAATGCAAGCCATCTGAATTGAAACGGCTAAACCCAAACTTAGATGATTCTAAAATGTTGCCAGGTGTTTTAGGATGAACAGAAAAAGCTGGATTCATATGAGCAGTTTAAATATCCAGATGTGGTTCCAGCTATTTGGTCTCACCTATCGCAGCCTCCTGGCTTCTCTCTCAGACTCCAGAAGTGTCAGCACATCTCCTTCTCTGACGGGGCCCTTCACGTTCCTGATGATGGAGCGGTTGCTGTCGTCCATGAACTCGACTCGGACCTGGAGGAAAAAACAACCTGCATGAGAGGCTGGAACTTCTCATCTTTTTGTTTCAACATTTTTGGTCGCTGAGTGAAGCTAAAGCTCAATGGCAACAAGAACCCACTGGACTTCTGGCTAAACTAAGTCAGCATGACTTCACTAATGTTTCATCCATAACCATGAGCCAGACTATATTTATGTTTGGAAAAGTGTCGTCTTGAAAGTAGAACTGACGCAAAGCAAAGGTATGTTATGAAGGACAAGAAGAGCACCAGCAGAGGGCAGGAAGCTAACGCTGTTAGCCTGTCTCCCAGCAGGAAGTGGCTCTAAGCCACCAGAATCACCTCTGGAACTTTGGACCATTTCTGAGGAATCATTAAACATTTTACCAAAAAA